CGATTGCACTGGGAATTCTGGAGGTCTCGTTTTCCAATTCCTGACAAAGGAAAAGGCAAATACAATGCTTTCATTACAAGTTTGCACACGGAATCCTGAAATCAGTCTAGCTTCTCATGTTAAAAATAAAAATGTGTTTCTTGCGTTTCTTTTCCTTCTCCTAAAAATAGTTTTCTTTTAAAAAAAAAAAAGTGACTCAGGTCATTCAGTTGGAAGAAGAAACTTAAACTTTTTTTTGTAACTTTAAAAACAGAAGAATGGTCAATATTATATCTTCCTCTTCAGATAGCACGGAACCAAAAAAAATAGGTTTGAAATATTTAGTTTGTCTTGACTTGACAAAAATATTTCTCTGTTTCAAAGAACCCACTTAAACACCTCATATTTCAAATGTTGCTTCTCTGATTTTCTAATTATAAACAATTAGCAACATTAAAAGTTGGACGTTTCAGAATATTCTAGTATTAGAGTAATTGTGACTGATGTCATAGAACTCTTCTGTTTGCAAAGCAGAGTATGTTTTAGAAATCAGGTCAATACATTTTAAAAACTTGTTAACCAAAAATATCCTCACAATATGACTGCCAGTGTCAATTCCCCAGGTTACAGTATATTAATTCTTCTGGATTTAGAATAAAAAAAGTAAATGTGCTTCTGGACTGCATTTTTAAAATGTTTGTTTTAATTTTTTTTAAAAAAAGTATGTTTTTCTATGAAAAATGAGTAAAACAATTATTGCACTTTAGGCCTTCCTTCTTTGCTTGTTTTTATTTTACAAGATTGAGGCACTTTGCTGATTGAATCAAGTATAAAAGATAAAAAATAAAGAGAAAGATAAAAGGGAACCAGTTTGATCTAGTGGTTAAGGCATCAGGCTAGAAAATGGGAGACGGGGGGTTCTGGTCCCACCTTAGGTATGAAAGACAATTGGGTGACTTTGGGCCAATCACACTCACTCAGCCCAATCACAAGGTTGTCGTTGTGGGGAAAATAGGAAGAGGAAGGAATACTAGAGATGTTTGCTACCTTAAGTTACTTATAAAAAATAATGGAGGGATAAATAAATAAATAAGTAAATAAGTAAATAAATAAATACGACATATAGAACTCAAAATCTAAAACTTCTAGAAAAGCCACACCTTCCAATTCAAAGCACAGTCTGAGGTCTTTTGCAGCCTGAGGCAAAAGACGAGGTGGCACCAACTCATCCCAATCCATATATAGAAACTGACTAGACTGCTAGCTGAATGTCATGTCAAGATTGGTGGCACCACAACATTCACCATCACATCTGAGGACTTTGGTCTAGCCTGAAGAAGGCAAAGTAAAACTCAACACCCTTATTTCTCAACACTTTCAGTCAGTGCTTTTTTTCTAAAAAAAAAAAAAAAGGGTGCCGGAACTCACACACTTCATACAACCCACCTTGCCTACCCTACAAGGTTCCATCCCAAAAAGGTGCTGGAACTCTGTTCTGGGCGTTCTATGAGAAAAAAAGCCCTGCTTTCAGTTATCACCCAACCACATTTTGCTGGTTGGTAGGCCCTGCCCTGACTAGACTAGACCTTGAACACTCTTCTTCCTCTTTCTGCTCAATATCCTCTTTCTGCTCAATATCCATCCTGGTAATGCAACCAGTTTCCAAGCTTTTTGCTTCCTCCAGTTGGTTTTCAGACACGCTCTGCTTTAAAACTTCTTTTCCCTCAGGCTGCATATCGACTCTTGAGGGCCTCGGTTTTTGTTCACCATTTTGCTCATTTCTTGTTTTTATGGTTGAATTGTCTCCTTAATGGGGAAACAGCTTCAGGTTAAGGAGATGTTATTTCCTCCTGTTTTTATTTGTATTCTCTCTGCCAGCGGCATAACTGGGATATGGCTGTTTGTTTCACAAAGCACCGTACATCTATTTCCTTGCAAGCCTTTGTGTAGAGATACCATAGTATATTCAGTATGGTCTCTGCCCTTGTGACCAGGCTTAAGATTTTGTCCCAAATGACTCAAATGGAAAAGGATAAAGTAGCAGGCATGAAAGTGTCTTATCAACAGGCTGTAACTATAGCCAGAAGCATCCCTTGGTTAGTAAGCGAAATAATAATCTCTGGCCATCCGTGATTACCTGCGAGATGCAATCCCACTGTAGATTGTGATTAATTGGACAGCACACAACTGCTCTCCCTATTACTGCACCTGGTGATGGAAGCTGTTATAAAGGTAATAGTGCCAGTCCCCAGGGTTGGCAAGCTTTCCTGGCAAAACGTTTTTATATCCTTTTGCTTGATACAGATTTAGGCTGTAAAATCTGGGTGGCCATCCACTTCCTTGCAAGGAAATTGATGGAATGGAATCCCAACATGTCATTTTTTCCCCTTTGTAAGAGAAGAGCAGGCAGAATTGGGGGGGGGAGGATGGGGGGCAGAGTTAAGTGCATCATTAAACTGATTCGCATTCCCACAAGCACTCCAAATTCCACCCTTCCTGAATTCTGTTGACCCTTACCTAGCGCCAATTTAGTGTTGAGTTTAAGTTGACCAGATTCTTGTGTATAGGCTTGAATAGATCTATTTTATTTTTTTTATTTATTTGTATCCTGCCTTTATTATTTATACAAATAGCTCAAGGCGGGAAATACATCCAACACACTTTCCTGCTCCATTTTTTTCCTCACAAGAACCACCCTATGAGGTGGGTTGGGGGCTGAAAGAGAATTGACCGGCCCAAGATCAACCAGCTGACTTTCATGGCTAATCTTCTATGCTGCAACCTTATAAGCGGTCCTGATTCTTTGTGCCTGACAGCCTTCTTTGCAAGGAAATTGATAAGACTAAATCTCAGTGGGTTATTTCTCCCCTCCCCAGCTCAGAATCACTGACATCAAGTTGATCTAAAAATGCAAATTAAGGGAGCTGGTTTCCAGTGAGGAATTATCTGTTCCATTTACAACCAGCAACTGTTCACAGAGACTTTAAGACAGGGGTCTTCAAACTTGGCCCTTTTATGACTTGTGGACTTCAACTTCCAGAATTCCTCAGCCAGGCACGCTGGCTGAAGAATTCTGGGAGTTAAAGTCCACAAGTCATAAAAGGGCCAAGTTCGAAGACCCCTGCTTTAAGACTATGGCAGGTGGGAGCTGTGATTGAACACATCTGAAAGGGCCAGTTTGGATGAGGTGAACTTAACATTTCAGGCATAATGAGTATTATTATTTGAATTACGAATGTCAACTATATGTAATAGCCGTTCAAATCTTTTCAATATGTAACTTTTCTTGCACGGATGAAGTAAGTCATGAGCAAAGTAAACAAACTGATAGTATGCAGCAGATCAGCAATTCTCTTTTCCACCAGCCAGCCTTACTTCATAACACAGCCGTACTACTGAGCCAACCAAGACAATATATAACTCATGCAATTAGCTGAACATTTTTAAAGGTAACTTTAGGTTCAGTGTGTTCAAAGCAACTATTCAGGAAAATTACAGCTTTCCAAAGCACTATTGAGTTTGCTGCCATAACTTCCCCATTCTAAACTTCGCCAGCTCTGCTTAGTAGAGCTAGGATAACAGTAAGTTAGCACTGTCTTCTACATTGGAAAGACCCCACAGTAGCAAAATCATCATCATGATAATCAACATCATCATTTATGATCCAATAAAAACTTTTAATGTTCACTGAAAAAAGATCTGAATCCACTTGTAGGCTTGTTTGCTACCTTTTCCCAATACTGCTTTCCTTCCTTCCTTCCTCTCCCTTCCCTCTCTTCCTTCTTTTCTTTCCTCTCTCTCTCTTTCTTTCTCTCTGAGTGTCTTTTCAACACCATCTATAAAAATCCTATACTAAGCTGCAGCAAGACACACAAAAATACCAGGCATTTACCAGAAATTAACTAAAATGTTCTGGTGTCATCTAAACTTTCTTATATAAAATAATATAGAACCAGAGTGCAACTGTTTGCACCCATTTTCCTGACCTCTCTCCAAACACTGAAACGTTTATAAGTTCCCCTTTGATCACTGATTCCAGATTTTTATCTCTGGGTCATCCAAATGGGTCTTTTTGTTCTTTGCCCCTCAGAAGTATCAGTGGTGGACAGTGTAAAACAACATAGGAACACAGATGTAATCAACGACTAAACATTTTTTATTTAAAAGAAAAATAAATACTGCAGAAACAATAACCAACCATACAAAGTGACCAACATTTGTTAAAAAGTGATGTTCTGCTGAAACAGTTAACTTATTTCTCATTTTACAATACTTAAATACGGAAAGCACTTGCCAGCTTGTTTGTTTGTTTGTTTGTTTAATACTGCCATAAGCATACCATTGCATCAATCAAAAGCATTATCACGGTGGCAATAGATCTGGACCTTTCGTGTGGAAGTACTTCAAAAATGAAGCATTGGAGAAAACGCTGGCTTTTGACAAGCCAGAGAGACGTTCTCAGCAGAGCTTTGCAGTGTGTCTTCCAAAGCGCAACAACATCTGCAAACTATTTTTGAGATTGGCCTAGTAGATGTAACAATAGTCATCAGTCAGGGAAAAGGAATTTGACAGAATCTGGGTCACCCAAGTAATGTTTAATGATCACTGTCTGGATATGCTTGCATTAGACCTTCAGGATTAATGCAATATCCTGTTTCCACATGGGACCTGTTAAGGCTCCAACATTCTTTGGGCTCCTCCCCCCCATTTCCTCAGAGTGCTCATTACAAGTAAACAGAAATGTGTAATAAGAGACGGTCATCCATATGCAGCCATTTTTCCCCTCTCTTTCTCTTTCTCCGAGATACATTTTAATGGAGCTAATTGGAGAAGGTTGGTTCATGTGCTAGTTGAAACAGAAAATACCCAGAACTGTAGAAAAGGTCATATAGCAAAACAGCACTTACTCTCTTACACACAGTGCTGTGGCTGGCTTCCTTCATACTAAAGGAGCTGGTTAGGAGGGCAGTAAGACTAAACTCCTTTATAACTAACTCTTAGCACCATTTGTTGGAGGTTACTTTTCCGTCTATGCCATTCTTGTTGTATACAATTCCTGAAGAAGCCACTGAAATCCAACTTAATTTTCAGCCCATTATCCAAAATGATGGTCAACATGAAGGGAAAGATGTCGTATCCAAGATCTGCTCTGAAAAAGAGATTCTTAAAACCCTCTTCCTTATCCATCCGTGTTTTCACAATAATAGCTTCTGAACAATCTGAAAAAAAGTATTTAACTTCTCCCTTCACTCTAATCCTCTCACACAACATATATTTTTAAAGTCTAAGAGCATTGTCCTCCAGAATAACTCTTCCTATTTTTAAGGTTCAACTAAAAGGCAAAGATATATTCTTTGGGAAAAAACTAAAACTGCATCACAAGGCCAAAATTCACAATGAAAGGAGTAGGAAAATCTTGACTTTAGATCTGAGAGTATCGTTTAGAACGTAATCAGACTCAAAGTTGGTATTCAAAATAGACTGAAAAAAGCTTCCTCCAGAACATCATTTTCTTGGATGCTACTTAATCCTTTAGCCATGTTAGCACATTCAAATAGTTTCGCTCATATTTGGTATTTCATCCAAGTAGCTTCAACAACCCTTCAGGATCCATCTTTTCCCACTGATTCCCTACATACTGACCCCTCAAGTACAGTTCTTGCCTACTAAGGGGAAACTGTGGCCTTTAAGCATTGGCATGCCCACACAATAGGCCATTTTCACTGGGCACTTCTTGTTGAGTTGTCATCTATCCCCCCAAACACATGGTCCTTGGCCATCTTGAGTGAGAAACTTGAGTCTTCACATCACTGTACAGCTCTTTGCTTTGTCCTTCCGCAGATCTGTGGTGACTGTGGTGAGTTCTGGCCGGCCTGGCATGTGTGAAATTCGTTTTGTTGCCCTCTGCGACTTGTTCCGCTTAACATTTTTATTAGTTTTGTTCACACAGGCTAGGGTCGCCACATGAAAAATGTCTCGTACGCTGTTTTCAGACTGCAAGGCTGAGCATTCAATATAAGTGGCTGCTCCAATCTGTTTGGCCATGTTTGCACCCTAGGAAGAAAGACAAAAGAGAGGCAGATATTAGCCCTCAGTAAAAATCAGTTCAAATCTAAACAAATTCATATTTGCTTTTGGATACTGCTTTTATATAGAACAATTAGGCACATAAAAACAGACTTCTACACCTGGATATAATTCAGATGTGTTAGGACTACAATTCCCAGAATCCCAACCAGCACAGCCAATTCTAGGAATTTTAACCTTGATGAATTTGGAGGACACTCAACCAATAAAGGCTGATCCTAGGTCTTATTGTCCACATTACGGCCTTAAAAGATCTTTGACAGCAATTTAGATAGTGGAATTTTTAAGTAGTTTGATAGCCTAACAATAGTCCCATTGTTTTAAACAGCTCTTACTGAACCACACCTATTTCAAGAGAGTACTCAAGGAAAGCGATCGCATGGGGGACAAAAGAAGCGGTACAAAGACACGCTGAAAGCATCTCTCAAGTCCCTGGATATCGACACCCTCTCTTGGGAATTTTTGGCGCATGATCGACCGACATGGCGTACCCTGGTTTACCAGGGTTGCCAGACATATGAACACAGAAGGACAATCTTGGCACAAGAGAAGCGAGCACTCCGTAAAGCCAGAGCTGCAAATACTGAAGCAATAGTGTCCACATTTCTCTGTTCAGTATGTGGCAGAACATTCCATGCTAACATTGGTCTCATCAGCCATCTACGGACACACCGCTGATGGCCCATAATCCATAAGATGTCAAGGTCTTCATCGAAATCGATGGACGAACAACACTCATGGAGAAGTAACAGAGTCAGAGATAGGCAACAATCATCAGATCCTAAATTTTGGCTCAATGGTCTGAACATTTCATGTTCCTATCAGCAATCCTACAGTGAAGTGTCTGTGTGTGCTCTCATCAGCAGACCTTATGAAATGGATGAGATACGAACGGTAACAAGTAACAGCAAGGGGGAAAAGATCTAAAGATTCCTAGCACAATTTTATATGATGGGTTCATATACGGATCCAACATAGCAGACAAAGACACATTTTTCTTCCCAAGTTGAGCAAATTGCTTTAACTGCTGTGGTACAGACTGCTCTTTATGGGGCAACCAATGTAGTCTTTGGGGTTTGGGCTGTCTGCTATCTTTCCCTCTAAATACAAGGTTGAATAGTTCAGCTAGTTTAGATTATGACCTATAGTTGTTGACTTAAAAAACCCAACTGGCTTCATAAGATGAAGCAAGCCACTCAAATGTGGTGAAGTTAATCCACTTTCTCTGTTCTCTTAAAGGAATAGGGTAGAGCTCCTTGAAATAAGATTCTTGACAGCAGATGGCATCTTTTTTTTCACTGCTAGTCAAGACTGCTAAAACCTGTAATTTGACTCTAAAATCACCCATATATGCTTCAACATAGAAAAGTCTACTGTTATACTATGTAGGCAAAGAACAGTGTTTTCTAGAAGCCCTCAACTTTCACTAAGCCAACAATTAATAAACAAGATATATGTTGTCTATCAATCAGATTTATAATTTTATTCCTCTGAGCCATTTAGTGCCTTAAAGCATCCGGAAGGGATACAGGCCACGTAAAACTGGAAGAAAAACAAATATTTGACTTTCCTGCTGGGGTACTAATGCTTATTTGCTCAGCCTGGGACAGGGGAAAAATGTTGTTCAACTAGAACTTAGAACAGTTTGCATATTCTGGTTGTACAAATACGAGTCTCGCTACTGATGTTAGGAAATGTCTCCTGTACTTTGTCACTGACTGGAGAACTTCATGCCTAATGGAAATGATCTGGAAGGCATTCAGAAACCAAAGGTTGTTGGTTGCTTAGCTAATAAGAGCTGGAACTTTGAGTTGACTTTTGGAGCAAAGCTGGATAATTTTGTGCAAACTCAAATGTTTTGGGAGAAAAATAAATCAAGATAATTAAATGGCTTGTCTCATTACAACTGAAGGGGCAACCAGATAGCTTTTGGATTATCCATGACAATCAATCTGCAGTGAGAAAGTTAAATTCACCAGCACTAATGGGAAGCCACAGAGATGTATTTGTTTCATATGTTATTTTACAAAGCTACAATTTGGTGCCCACAAAAATGTAGTCCTCAAAGGCATAAGATTGTGGTCATGCTATACACCATAAAGCCCCGATTTAAGGCCATATGATTCTAGTTTGAAACTATTATCAAGATCACCCCACCCCATGAACCAAAAAAAGACTCTTTCCCCCATTTTATCACAGTATTCATCTAGGTTGAAAACTGTAGGTATTTACTCCTATTTGTTCCTATAGATTCTGTATAGCAAGGGTGTCAAACTCGCCGCGTCACGTGACGTGTTGCGACGTATTGCAACTTTTTTTGCATTGCCGGAGCTGGGGTAAGCGCGGTCTCAGTATGATGCAACTGGCCCGCGGGCCAGCAGTTTGACACCCCTGCTGTATAGGAATAAATTTGTTCATAAGACTCAAATCGCAGCTTGATAAAATTTAGAAAGCAAACATTGTGTAAAAAAAAAAATCCTGATTATTTTCTTGACAATTCAAATTGAACTAATTCCTGTCTCTTCAAGACAAAACTGGTTTCAACTGTAACTTGTTTTAAAAAAATAGGGAGGACTCATGACATAAGCTCTGTCACTGTTTTGCTTCTCTGCTTTTAGCAGATATCTCTAAATATCACCTTTGAGATGTAATCATTGGGGGAGGGGGGGTGGAGGCCAAAATTTCATGTGAAGTTTTGTGAACATTCAGCACTGTCTAACAAGGCCTTGTAACAATATTGCCAAGATCTCATCAGATGTGGTAGACGACCTAAAAAGGTTGACAAATATCCTGAAGCTGTAGGATTTGAAGAAACCTCAAGACTGGAAGGGAACTATGTTGTTTTCCAGACATAGCTGGACTGCAGCTCCTAACATCATCACCATCAACCATTTGGCTAGGGTTGATGTGATTTGGTGTTCAACAACAAACAGAAGTCCACATATTGTAAACCAGTTGTATGCCAGCTGAAATCAAATTTTTCTTAAAAGTATAATTAGTGTTTTCAATGCAGTTTGAATCCATTCGCCTCGGGAAATGTTCTGGAAGTGGATTATTTGACGTTTGTGTTACATCAGTTTTAGGATGATGCAGCTTTATAATAATATAAAAAAGTCCTCTGCCATGGGGGAGAAGGATGGTAATTCTCAGCTTGAGACATTTGTTAGACAGACTCCCTACTTTTTTTGCTTCTTTAAAGAAAAACAGCCAGTTTCTGCCTCATTGCTTATCGTGACAAAAGGAAATACACATTCAGTTCACTCTTTCCACAAAAGGGAGGAGAACATTTTGAAGCCAAATGGGACTCGTGCCCGGTTTAGCAATCTAGCTCAAGCAACATAGAAAAGAAGAAGGGGGACACAAAGCCTGCAGTTGTTGATAACATATTCTGCAGATTATACTCTGAGTTGTCAAGGGGAAAAAAAAAACCCATTTCCTTTTGAAGAGGATTCTGTTCACACAAAAGCTCTTGCACGAAGTCCTCAGAAGTTGTTGAGCAATTGGATTCTGGTAGGATACGTGTAAACACATTTCTGCTATTGTGCTTTCTTTATATACTGCAGAAGCCACAGCTTGCTTTAAACTCAACTTATGGAATAAGCTGCAATGGGTAGGTTCATATAAACCACCATGACTAGGTTTTACCTAACACGCTAATGAGTGTTGTCATAGCAACATGCAATCATTCATGCATAGACCATTCCTTTTATTTTTATTTTTTTGAGCTTCACAATCTCTGTAGCAATACTGGCATTGTTCAAGAAAAACCTTCCTACAAAATATCCACTTTCTGTATCATGATTTCCGGTCCAATGTGGAGCCTGTGCCATAGAACTACCTTCCCTGAGTCAATCCATTAGTCCATTTTGCTAACTTACTGGGCAACATTTCATTAGGAACGGTTGGGGAACCTGCCGCTCAAATTTACTCTCCTCCAGGACTTTATTTGCAACCCCCACCAGAATGAATGGAACCAAAATTGTAGACTTTCATTTGTGTTTAGGGGAAGTCTTTAAAGGAAACAGGGGTCCATATGCATGTCTGTTGCCCCAGACAGAACCCAAAGAAAATGTGCAGGCGCCCAAATGAAAAAGACTGACCACTATTGCACTAATAGTTCAGATTTCTATAGCCCTATCTGGACACACTACAAATTGAACGTGGGCTCTCTTAATGCAGGGTGAGCTCTGCGAGTAAGCAATGACTCTACAAGCACCACAAGTCAATAATTCATATTCTCTGGTTTCAAGAAATTCAACACAAGTTCTCAGTGGCCGTAGCAATTATGAATGGTTAAAATCAGTGTAGCGTATATGTCTGTCTTTTGCTACACTGTACTACAAATAGTGATGGGAAGCATCAGTAGAAAAGTTTGCCCAAGTAACAAGCAAAATATGGAATCTTCAGAACTTACCTGATCATATGACACTGGTGTCTGTCTGTGATTGGACAACTCTACAAGCGTACTAACATCTGTGCGCAGATCAGACTTGCAGCCAACCAAAAGCATTTTGGTGTTGGGGCAAAATTCTTGAATTTCTCCTTTCCACTGTAAAAATAAGATATTCTTGATCTTACCAACGCCATAAGAACAAAGTAGAGCATCTTGCTTCACTGAGAAGTTTAAAGTGTTAATCCCTATCATGATTAGCTGTATACTTGAAGTGCTATGTAACAGTAAAGCATCCAATTAAAGTATTAAATAGTGTTGGATTGTAATCCTATACACACCCTTATCTGTGAGTAAAATCAGTCACAGGTAATAAAAAATTTTTTCTGAGTAAACACGCATAGGATTGTAAGGTTCTGCTCTATTCTGGACTCAAATCGTAAATGTCTGCCTTGTGGTGTCAGGATGGACATTCAATAATTTTTGCATCATTTACATCATCTGCATTTGCAGATGCCTAGCATTTAAGTCCTTTTCTTCCAGTCAAATTTGCATGAATCCTTAAGTACGCATGGATTAGATTTCAATAGCTTTTTTCCCCACAGTCCAAGGTTCTCAACTACATTCATTAAAGAGTGCAGGATTAGTACAATCCATGGACCATAAGTAGCTCCAGCATCCACAGGAGTGGACAGAGTTAAAAAATAAATAAATCAAGAGTAATCACAGCATGGTGAACAAAGTCTTGTCCCTTTGATAAATATATGTAAAAAGGCTGGAGCTTTCTTTTATTTTTGTATTCAATTAATACGCCATCCATCTCATTATCTTGACTGACTCTGGGTGGTTTACAATAGTATACTACTGCTTTGCCAAGATCTTAATTTCAACATTTTTTTTTAACCTCTGGCCACAGATGTTGACCCTAATATCTTTCTCTTATCATCCTTTTCCTCCTTTCCCTCCTTTTTTTCCCCAGTGTAAAATCTCCCAACCATGTCCAATGCCAAATAACAGCAACAGATGGCTCTGAAGCAAATAGATCTTATAGGTCTAGAAACTGTTTCACTCTATCTAAAAATCTACAGTGCTACCTTGGTACTATTGTATATAAACAGGGAGCAAATACCACACCCACTAGAACTGATAATGTTATCTAGTTGGGTTATAAAATGTCTACATGCAAACAACCAAGCTCAGAGATCACCAAGGACTCCACATCCAACATAGTAGAAAGATGTGTGTGTATGCCAAGGGTCTTCAAGCTTGGCTCTTTTATGACTTGTGGATTTCAACTCCCAGAATTCCTCAGCCAGCCTTGCTGGCTGAGGAATTCTGGGAGTTGAAGGCCACAAGTCATAAACTGGCCAAGTTTGAAGACCCCTGGTCTATGCTATTTACAGCTACTGTATATCTATATATCTTTACATATATACGACTATCACCACTACTGTGTTTCTATGCAGAGTTGTCTCTTGTGGTTCACCAAAGATCGGAAGCCATCTTATGGAGAATGGGAGGTTTTGGCCTGTCAGGACAAGTCTTAAAATTTCTGTAGTGCTGCTAATTTTAAACCCATCCAACTCCAGAGGGCTGAGGAAGAAAGGCTGGCAAGATGAGCCTCAGCATCCCCTACAGATAGTGGCCCAGCTGCCCTGCATTTGAGTCATCACATCAACTGCCAGCACAGATCTAATCATGGGAGTTTCTGAGAGAACAAGTTTCAACTGCTCCCTAAATTTCGTGTACTGTAATCATTAAGATTAAACTGTGGCCTCAACCTGTGTCATGCGCACACACAAAATGCCAGTCCGTACAGTGTGAAAACTGGCTTGCTTTTTAATATAAAGCAGCTTAGCAGCAAGCACCTAGGTGTATATTTCCTTCCCACTGCAGAAAGGTGGAATGTGTTAAATCAGCAGCAGTTCTAGAAACGGGCTAGGTTACAAAATGGGTATCAGCAATGCAGTGAAAGAAAAAAAGAATGCAATCCAATTTAGTCACAATTAACCACAGAAAACACGGTAACTGAATGATATACAAGGCCTGGGCAGTTGTTCTTTTAATATATGTAGAAGATCACAGGTGCTTTCCCCTACTTCTCCTTATGGCAGAAAGTTTGCTTAAAACTAGAGCATATCTAATATACATGAATATATTGCTTGTTCAAAGCCCTTAGTTCCTGGGATTCCCATCTATTTATCTGTGTTGTTGTTAGTTGCGAAGTCGTGTCTGACCCATCGCGACCCCATGGACAACGTTCCTCCAGGTCTTCCTGTCCTCTACCATCTTCTGGAGTCCATTTAAGCTCACGCCTACTGCTTCAGTGACTCCATCCAGCCACCTCATTCTCTGTCGTCCCCTTCTTCTATTGCCCTCAATCTTTCCCAGCATTAGTCTCTTCTCCAGTGAGTCCTTCCTTCTCATTAGGTGGCCAAAGTACTTGAGTTTCAACTTCAGTATCTGGCCTTCTAAGGAGCAGTCAGGGTTGATCTCCTCTAGGACTGACAGGTTTGAACGCCTTGCAGTCCAGGGGACTATTTATCTGTAAGATCTACTGAACATAATAGACTGAATTTGCTTGATTACATTCCGAGTAAAGTTATCTTCAATTGATTGGTCCTAACTTATAGGAGTATCACGATTAGCACTAACATTTCTCTAAATATTTTTGTCTGGAAAGTAATGAAAAATCTACTTCCTATATAATAAAACAAGGAACAGAAACTTGGATGTTGTCAAACTGGCATTCCTCACCCATACTGCTTGGTTCAGCAATATTTGGAGGATTAACAGGTGAACCACCGCAGCAATACTAATGCGAAGGTGGATATAAATAGCCATGTGTTTAAATTGTAAGATGAAACCTTTACGCTGCAGGTTGGAGTTAGAGGCTTATTTGGGATCTAGAGAGGCTGAAGGTAAAAACAGGAGCCAAGATACAGAAATTTGTCAAGGTTTCTCTGTAGGTCAGAATGTCACTTTGCAACCTGAACTTTTCTTATTTTAACATCATTCACCTCTGTAATTGGAAGTAAATATGAAAGGGCCCTACTTTAAAAAAAATTCTATTAGAAGGGAGAAATATTAATCTCCCCACTCTGTTCCTCAGGGCAAAAGGGGAAGAAAAGGATTCTAACAAGGCCTTCATCATTTATGTTAAATGGCAGATTCTAGCTTGCTTCTAGTGTTTTGGGAAGCTGAAATTCAGTGTCTTCTGGAAGTCTCAAAGGTGCTTTTTTCTTTAAAAGGCAACAGAACTGGTTTTTTTCCTTGAGGAAAAAGAAAATGTTTTAACTCAGCCAAGAAACTTCATCAGTTCTGATGGCGGGGGGATGGAACTGAGGAAGCTTCTTGGACGAAAAGCAAAACATTTTCTTTTTTGTTCCTCAAGGAAAAAAACAATCCAGTTGTCTTTTAAAGAAAAGAAAAAAAAGCACCTTTGAGACTTCCAGGTGATACTGAATTTTAGCTTCCCCAAAAAGCACCTTTGATGCAACCATGACCTGGATGACTGAGAATCTCCACAGACATATCATCTGGAAGGACACGGGTTCTTAACCATTATCCTGTTGCATTAAAAAAATACAGGGGAACAGTATCCTTGTGCAAAGGCATCCCAGAAAACTAGAAAATAATGTTTCATGTATCTCATTGGCTTGAGATCCCGCCTTCATGCAGTTTTACAAATGCTTGATTAGATATCCTCCTTCTCCTTATAAGTATCCCAGGAGAGGAGAATGTTCCATTTTTTTTTTAAGACTAGTTCTTCAAATAATGTTTCTGGTCCCTCCGTAATTCAAAGAAATAAAGATGGATCCTTCTAATTTTAGTCCCTTTCAATTACATTTCTGGCTGCTTTACATGTCATTTCTTCATTAATCTTCAAGCATTTCAAGCAATCGCTAAAAGCAGATATTCCTCAGTATGTTTTATTTATTGATATATCTCCAGTTGTTCCTAACATTTTATGAAATTTTAATACAGTGTTAGGATTAGACATCAAAATATAGAAAATTATGAATGAGAGAATAGTCAATTATTCATAATGTATGAGATGAAAAAGACGTCAGATCATATTGCAATGAATAAAGATAAAATTCTACCCAAATCTAACAGTGATTAATTTGCAGCCTAAGCGGAACACCTTCTTTGAGTCAACCAAATTATTTCAGCTTCTGAGTACTTAATTTATGGGTTATTTATTTGATTTCTGTACAAACCCCCCCCCCCCATTTGAATCAATGACTCTGGGTGGCATACATCATAAAATATAAAAAGAATTAAAAACAAATGTTATATTCAAGAGGGAAAGTTGAAGAAGCAATGCTTCATGCCTTTAAGAAGTAAGCAGCTGTAAGAAATTCATCATATTAGTCAATTAAAAAAAGACATGGTTTGTAATTTGACTAATAATCAGATATTAATTTCAGTGTTCTCCTCCTTTTGAGGGCAATGGCTCTTTTTGTTGTCAATAAATAGTTTAATAATAACATTGCCTTACACTAAATTTGAACCAATGGGGAACCTGTTTTCTTCAGCTGTAGTCTATTGCAGTTCCTGTCATCTTGGCCAATGGTGAGGATGCTGGGATTTTGACAATCTAGTTTTCCAAGATTCAGATTATATGTTCTTCTACTGAGCTATGATTCCTAGATTGACAATCTAGTTTTCCAAGATTCAGATTATATGTTCTTCTACTGAGCTATGATTCCTAGATTGACAATCTATTTTTCCAAGATTCAGATTATATGTTCTTCTACTGAGCTATGATTCCTAGACTGACAATCTAGTTTTCCAAGATTCAGATTATATGTTCTTCTACTGAGCTATGATTCCTAGACTGACAATATAGTTTTCCAAGATTCAGATTGTATGTTCTTTTACTGAGCTACAATTCCTGGCCAACATATAGACTAAGAGATACATTCTTGATCCCTCTCAGCATTAAGCTAAATGTTTGCACTCAAACCCCAAGTAGAGAAACAAAAGTGGATGCCCAATGCTTATCATCAAGAGCTAAATATGCTTGGGAAAATGATGAACTATTCTTTTTTTTGTTGCAATCATCAGCCTAGAGTACGTATTTAAATATATAAAAATGAAAACAGTAGCATTTCATAGTTATGCACATTTCTAAAACACCTACCTTTTTCAATACACTGTCAAGAGTTTCTGGACGGCTAATGTCAAAGCAAATTAAGACGGCATCAGAATCTGGATAGGAAAGTGGGCGGACATTATCATAATAAGGAGACCCTGCAAGAATAAATTAAATTAGGGTTATACAATAGGAAAAAAAACACATAGGTATCACAAAATTATGTGCCCCAAGAGTTTTAATCGTGGCACATGACAATCATTTCTAATCGTGTGCTCCCCAAATGCACTAGACTTCAGCTCTGATGACAGTGCTAACAAGTGCAACCCGATCCAATCTGGAGAATACTAGATTAGAGAACTCTGTGTCACATGTACCATGACTTCCTGATCCTCACCTTGAAGTTTCTATTATCCATCAGAATTAGCACAACCTCATATTCTCAATTAAATGTCATACCATTTAGACTAGCTTCAGATGAAATGGTCACCATATTTTGAACATGTTTTACATTTACTAATAGAGAAGGCATAACCACATAGGGTAACCAATGGGCATGCAGATCCTCTTCATCCCATATGGGTAAGTCTTATGGGCAAGCCATAAATGAAGGATGTGCAACATTGCTGCCCAGAAACAGCTCTCACATACAGTTTGGACGGGAAATAACAATTTGAAATTGTTCCCGTCTCCCCAGAGAATTAAAACATGATTAAGCTTACTAAAATCTCTTTGCATTTATGCCCAGAGAGCCCAGGAGCTGTCTGCCTTCTTTTAAAAGGTCTACAGCTGTAGTCAAATGACGCACACCTCTAAGTTTCTGTTGCATGACTAATGTTCAGCTATTGTTACCTCAGCGTTTTTCAGAACTTGATTGAATTCTAGATCTAAACACTATATTAGGTTCACTTCAAGCCCGAACCCTAGAGAAATATACTCTCTCAGCATTGCTTTTGCAATACCCAAGATGGCCAGTTCCAAAATGGGAAAATATATATATGCTTTAGCCCAGGGGTAGGCAACCTTGGCTCTTTTATGACTCGTGGACTTCAACTCCCAGAATTCCTGAGCCAGCCATGCTGGCTCAGGAATTCTGGGAGTAGAAGTCCACGAGTCATAAAAGAGCCAAGGTTGCCTATCCCTGCTTTAGCCTATTCCCATAAAGCTGCTGATCCTTCCCAAGCATTATCTCCCTATTATATATCCAACTACTATAACTCTGCAGAGCTTTGCTGCTACAAAGAAGAGTGTTGAATGACCATTCAGTCAGTGACCGTTCAACAGCCCTGAACGATGGGGACTTATGATTGGTCCCGCTGCAGCAGCCTGCAGTCATGTGATTGCCATTGGCAACCTTCATTGCCAGCTTCCAACAAAATCAATAGGGAAGCTGGTAGGAGATCACAAATGGCAATCACCTGACCACGAGAGGCTGCAACCACATGGGACTCAACTAGGACTGCCACAACGGTCATCACAAGTTGGTGCCGACATGTGACGCTGCACTTTACAACTGCCTTGCTTAAGTTACCAGTTACCATCATTAAGCAAAGAATTTTAATTGTAAAGCTCTATGCACTTACACCTTTAGCTTGTCACAACTTGTGACCCGATAATGCAACCACCAGAAACTCAATAAACCTCTCATTTATGTTCCCTGCCTATCATCTAGCCAGAAACAACATCTACAAAAAAGAGAAAAACTCTCTACAATCAAAGCCATCATTCACTTAGCTTAGCATCCCATCTCTACAGAGTGGGCAACAAGAAACTATGTATTTGGCCACAATGAGGTCACAAAGACAATAGGACTTTTCTGCTGAAGCTCGGTCGTTAGTCAATCGGCAAACAGCTGGAAGGGTCCTTGGAGGTCTTCTAGTCCAACCCCCTGCTCAAGCAGGAGACCCTGTACCTATTTCAGATAGGTGGTTGTCTAATCTTTTTTTTTTTTTTTTAAACCCAGTGATGAAGCACCTACAACTTCTGAAGGCAAAACTGTTCCACTGATTAATTGTCCTCACTGTTAGGAAGTTTCTCCTTAATTCCAGGTTGCTTCTCTCTGTATATTTGACTCTATACAGTCATTATGATAACACTGATAGAATTATCAGGCTACCCACAGCTTTGCGGGTCACCAGATATGCAGCAAGGGTATAACTAAGTCCCTACCCTAAGCAGTTATCTAGCCACAGCCGCCATAAGTCTGGCCTGCCTTTACATGTAACTATTAATTTTCTCCATCCTATCTGTAGTGTCACTTCCATCATATATCAGTAAAAGAAACCTTTGGAGCACCCTCCGTTTAATGACCTGCTCAAATCTATGATAGGTCATTAGAGGGAATTGGTCTTCTGGAATGCAGAATTCCACATCGCCTCCAGCCACACTGTCTTTGCAAGCAGTTCCCATGAAACTAAAAAGGCCTGCTAGAACAGGCTGTTTCTTGAAGAAGTCAATGGCTTAAGTATTTTTAAATGGTTGACTGGTCTCTCTCCCAGGAATCTGAAGAATTAGTCTGCATCCTTAAAAACACATTTACTCCTGCTTATCATTGACGTGCCACAAAACAGGGCAGGAAAAAAAAAATCATTTTGAAGAAACTCAATCAACCAGTAGAATAATCTATCCCATACCTCTTTTAGACCTTTTTCTTTTCTTTTCTTTTTTTAAAAATGACATGGTGACTACGGCATATGCTCAGTCCTCGCTGGGGTAGATTTTATTTCCTGATGGTCAAAAAGAGGATCCTTGTTTTTTCTGATCCTTTTTTTGTATAGCACACCCTAGGGCTCTTGAGAGCCAGCCAAATCTTAGCAGGGATGGTGCCATGCTGACTACCAAGGGGTCTTCTCTTGGCAGACATTCTCTATCAATGCACTGGATAAGAGTTAGCTGCATACTGTTTGCTGGAAGATGACACGCAAACATTTGGTGATCAGATCGCATTTGGCTTTGGGGAACTAGTCATATTTTAAATCTGCAGCATGCTACAGACGAGCTAGGGGTTGTATAAAATTATAATTTAGCAGGATAGAGAGGACTCTGCAAAATGCCCCCACCCCACCCCACCCCATAAAACACCTTCTGCTGTTTCAGGGTGTTTAAGGTAAACAGCAAAAGGAACTCATCTGGGGAGGGGGGGGGAAAGGGCAGATGGACCAGAAGGAAGGAATTTGAGGAATGCTGCTTTTGAAAGAAACAGGAACATATGGAGCAAAGCCCAGGCCAGGAAAAGCTGATCTACAACTTCCTTTCACGTTTAATTCCAGGCCTATGTATAGATTGGAGAAGGTTGCTCCTGGACATAGGCTAATATAAGGCACCTTTCCCATTCTAAGAATCAAATGCTCAACAAGCTATTTAAAGTTCTAGAGGAAGAAGGAATTTCCTTAGTTTGTTTTTTTTTTGCACATGACCCAGTTCCATTAGCCCTCATTCAAACAGTACATACAATGAGGACAGGCATAATTTTCTCATCATTTCGGTAGGTTTTGGATTAGGAACCGAGAAAAAGATGAAGTTGGACATCTCAAATGGCCTTCTGTGTATTAATAGTGTCCACACCAGAGCTAACTTTTTACACAGGAACAATAAACCTGGAGTATCTCACTGCTGCTTCACTGACTCCTGCATGAACCTGGCAACACGGCCAAGCACTTCATAGGCAGAACAGTTACTACTGCAATAGGGTTGCTAGAGAGAAAAATGTGTACTTTCCCCAAAGCTAAAGTAACTTCTAGAATGACTTATCCCAAATCGGGATGTTGTCCAGATGTGTACACAATTCCCAGAATACTCAGGAATGATCAAGCTGGCCAAAGAATTCACATCTGGAGAAGAAAGCCTACGCTAAAGTAACTCCAAAGAGGCCTACCACATTACAATTCTTAATGTGATAGAAATGTTTAATAGCCATTAAACATTTGTGGAACAATGTATTCATCTGAGCTTAAATATAAACAGTGAGACGTATTCTGTGGCATGTCATTCAAAGTTAAAACATAGCCCTCACCCCCCAAAAGTGAATTACTCTTGGAGGATAAAGATGGTCTTAAATGAAGTGAGATTATTTGTCTATCTAAACCAGGGGTGGGGAACTACGGACTTTTTATAATCTGTGGACTTCAACTCCCAGAATTCCTGAGCCAGCATCGCAATTCTGGGAGTTGAAGTTCACAGATCGTAAAAGGGCCATAGTTCCCCACCCCTGATCTAAACAAACATAACTAACCTTGCTTAACACAAATTTACCAAGGACACCTTGCCAAGTTCTTTCCCATAATATGCCACCAGACTCTTTTCCCTGGGATATGAAAGCTGAAATCTTTTGCAATTAAGTTAATACTGTATTGACCCTACTTTAAAGACAAAAGTGTTCTTGTCTGACCCTTCTGATCTGTCTGACCCTTAATCATCAGGTACCTGCAACTGACGTGCTACAGATGTTTATAGTGTATTCAGACGCAATATCAAATCATGGTTTCTTGTGATGAGCTCAGCCTCCAAATGGTCTCTCCTGTCTATTTTTTTTTGGGTAGTGTAGTTGCGAGAGGTTTCTGCTGACCTTTCCTGAGCCACAATCAAAAAGTCAGATGATCACTCTTTGTTCCTACCTGGCCTTTCTCTCAAGAAAAAGGCACAAACTGTTGGATTTGGCCATCACAATCTGCTTTGCATATCTTTAAAGGACAAAGTCACTGGTCCCACCTGCCCTCTCCTGATAAAAGAATAGGCAGCCTTTAAGAAACGTATCTAAAACTCAATATTAGATATATTTTTGCTGGCAAGGCCACAGATTGGCAACAATTAATTAGCTGGCCAAATTCTTAAGTTATCCTTTTATGGCGCACCTACAGTCAACTAAAGAATGTAACAATGATCACATATTTTTAAGCTGCTATTCCAACACCACTGTTCTCTCAAGTGCAATCACTGACAGCCAGATATTATGCTCTTATCACTGTGCATATATAACCTTGACTAATTTCGGGGAAATGCATAATATTTTAATTTCCGACCTACAGCTATTGTATAGCTCTTAGCATGGGTGCCACCTTCTCTTCTCATTTGAAGATTCTTGAGACAAGTCCAGGCATGATGAACCCTTAACTTCTAAGGGTTTGGACAGAGATATTGCTTGCATAAGAGAAGAATGAGG